TGTGAATTTTAAATTTCAAGTCAAATAATCTAAATTGATATGGAGAATGTAAACTTGTTTTCAGTTTGGGTGGTTTAGCCTAAAAAATGCAATTCACTTTGACAGTCCTGATCCTGACAGTTCCCCCAATAATGAATTATATACTTCTATCCAATTTAAAATGCTGGTGCTTGCTTACAAATCTCTACATAATGCTGCTCCAACCTACTTATCATCCCTAATACACAAGTATGTACCATCTAGGCCCCTACGCTCTGCCGCCTACGTCTATCCTCTGTTCGACTCCCACCTCTGATGCTCGCCTTCAAGACTTCTCTAGGGCTGCACTTTTGGAACTCCCTTCCCTTTGCCATTAGAGGCTCACCCAGTTTCCACTCCTTCAAAATAATCATTGAAAACGCACTTCTTCGGGAAAGCATAGTAATTAAATGTTAATACCTCCTTTCTCCCCGCACCTCCATTCCTCTCTTGCAACTGTCATTAAAATACTATTCTACCAGCCTACTTTCCTACCCTACCATTACCCTTACCTTTTGTGTCACTTTACCCCACTCCCTCTAGAACGAAAGTGCGTCAAACTCATCTGGTTACAATTTTGTGTTTGTTAGTCCACCCATTGTACAGCGCTGCAGAATTTGTTAGCGCTATATAAATAATTATTATAATAATATTCTGGACCATGTAGCTAGAATTGCTAGCTATCTGTACTCCAGACACGTTTCACTGGTCATATAGCCATAGCATTGTTATGTCCCAGTATGGAAATAAATATATTAATTCAAACCAATCCTAACACACAACTGCATGAACCCTGATATAAGCAGGGTCTGGAATACATAATTACCTTTTATATTATTGCATACTCATATTAACCCATAATCTGATTTTATTTATTATTTCTAAAGCGTAGACAAATTCCGCAGCCCTATACAATAACTAACAAACAAGTAGTTACATTAAAATTGTATTTATTTTTTTTTCTGTTTGTTTTTGCTTTGGGATTATAATTTCTTCTTACGCATACTATAGAAACTGGTTTTCATTGAAGGAATTAATGCTTGGCTTCCTGCCAATAGAGGGCGCACTGTACATCCATCTGCTACCGAAAAGTAAACAAACACCTACCGCTATCATTGTTACAACAGAGAGAAAGAAATGGCTCTCACTGCAATAGCTGCGAGCAGCTCAGACGGCTGCATGCGGCTAGGCATTGTGTGTGACCTGACTTATTGCAAGAACACACCATTTTTTATTCCAAAAACATATCAAAACATGTACAAGGGATTTTATAATATTTCAATAATTATTACAATTATATATTTTTTTATTTTATTATATGCTTTTTTTTATTATTATTTTTTTTTTTTTAAGGACAATCGTCACCTTTATTATAACCATAAACACTGCAGGATCATTACAGTGACATTTATCATGATTGCTGTGCAGAGTACACTGCTGTGCCCTCCCCTACAGTGACGCAGCGAACTGCAAAGTATCGCAGTTGTTAATCCTCACTAGTTCAGCGTCTCACAAAATTCTATTCGACGTTGAATACAGAGCAAATGAAAGAGACATTTTAAATGCATGTCTATAAGAGAGAAATACATAATATTATTGTATTTTGGGAATACTGTCGCATGACTGAAGACCGAGTCTCCAGAACCTCGAGATTACATTTTTTGTTCCTCCTCATAAACATGTCAGCACTGAGTAACGCTTATTGTACAGGATTTTTTTTAAATTTAGGGTTAGACTCACATACACACACTTGGTTGTTTGTTAGGGCAGTACCAGTAGATGTGTCCTGGCCTGTCCTAGATTAAAAGGAATTTGTTTGAGACTGCTGACATTAATTCACTCTCTGTTCCTTTCCTGGTGCACTGGAAGGGATGCTGGAGAGAAATAGACTCAGTGTTTCTCTCACCTGAATGCCAGCAGCAGTATTTGAGTATGAGGAAGGGGCAGAAATGTGACTATATGTGGCTGCAGCCAGGGAGTGTGACACCCATCAATCTTGGACAGGCCATAGGATGAGTGAAATGCACTCTCCACAAGCAGTCGCACTGGGCAATACAGTTTTTTTATTACATGGCGTGACTTCACAATCCGTACAGTAAAGATTTTAAAATATTACAGAAATCCCCAAAGTCAGCCTCGGCAGTACTATGTGTCTTTACATACCATGGCATTGCCTATTTTCATCAGGCATGCATGTTGCCACCTTCTAATCTGCAGAGCCATGAACGCTAAACGCGCTTATTAAGTATAAAATCTACCCATTATATTAGAGTAAAGAACTCTTTACTCATTTCAGTAAGGCTCGTTAGAACTGGTTCCTTGCATATTAACCCATTTAAGGAAATATTAGCCTAGAGGTCCCCACTGTCTTACTTTCAGCAGGAAACTGCGATTTCAAGGTCCTGTGCCACCATTCCAATCTGTTCCCTGTTGTCCCAGGGCACCACAGAGCAAGTGCATCATTAGATGGTCTTGTGCCATGCTCAAGCACTAGGACCTTGCAGAGGGCACTTCACCAGCACTCTCTGCATGGTCCTGCAGGTTGGGAGTTGACCAGTCAGTGCATCTTTTAAACATGCCAGGCTGACATGCCTCTTCAATAAGAGGGCATGCCTACTTCCTGGGTGGGAACGCCAATTATGGGTATCGCCGGTGACACAAGTTTCATCACTAGCAATGCCCCCTTAAAGGTCCGTCCACCCGTTCCTCTTCCATATTATTATTATTATGATATGTATACAGCGCCGTCAAATTCCGCATCGCTTTACAATGGGTGGACGAACAGACATGTAGTTGTAACCAGACGAGTTGGACACACAGGAACAGAGGGGTTGAGGACCCTGCTCAATGAGCTTACATGCTAGAGGGAGTGGGGTAAAATGACACAAAAAGGTAAGGATAGTATTAGACTAGTGACAGTTGCAGAAGAGCTATTAACAGTTTAATTGATACGCTTTTATGAAGAAGCGGGTTTTTAACGATTTTTTGTGAGTGGAGACTGGGTGAGCATCTAACGGAGGAGGGAAGAGAGTTCCACAGGAACAGTGCAGCCCTCGAGAAATCTTGAAGGCGAGCATCAGAGGAGGGAGTACGGACAGAAGATAGACACTAGGAGGTACAGTATCCAAGATGTTTGTTTTGGATAAGTTCCAATATATAGAGTTATTTACTAAACTCAGAATTGTAGCCAAGATGTGACTATAGTGGAGTTAGAAACTGGTTTAATTTCACTTAATTTAGCCTAAATTGTATCCCTACAATTCCCTACAATTCAGAGTTTAGTGAAGACCCGGATTCCTAATTTACCTAGTTCTGGAGAACTTTCATTCCAATAACAGGCAAAGTGTGCAAGTACAGCTATTTCAATTGTGATACTATAATGAGACTGAGCTATTCTCCTACAATTTACCAATTTTCATATTTTTATGTCACTGATTGTTGTTTCTTAAAAATGACCATATTTAATTGGGTTAATACAAGTGTAAACTTTATACATAGAGAATGATAATGAAATCGGACAACCTGCATAAACCTATAGAAACATCGTAACTCTTTGCTATTGTGGCACAAACTCTGTGCAGCTGAGGAGACAGAGACGGAATGCGATTGAAACTGAAGCAGTCAATTAGATTCAGCTGCCTGGTTAGACAGGTATACAAGATGAGGCTGTCAGCTTATTGCTGCTAGAACAAATATTTTGTATACAGTGGGAACTGGCTCCTTGTGTATGGTGCATATCTGATCAGAAGGATCTGCTTATAAACTGTGTAGAATTCTGCAATTACCCAATGACTTACTGCAGTTTCGCAAAATATCAAAAGTCTGTCTGTATGTCTCCTGATTTTTTTATACCTTTTTAAAATAAAAATAAGAATTCATAATTTATTGCTGCACAGTACAAAAGACAATGTATAAATATTAAAATCTGCAGCCGTATTAAAAAACTGAAAGCCAGTCATCTGTTTAGCCCAAATTAAGCTTGAAGGTAGCCCCTAATCTTATTTTTCAAACTCAAACCCCAGGCTTTATGCTCCCCTAGGTGTGAAAACATAACAATGCCCGGCCTGTGGATCGACAGACTGGTGCCTTGTTGTAGGATGACAATGCCTGGTTGTGGATTGACAGATTGGTATGTAACTATAGACTGACAATGTCCACCCTGTGAATCGACAGACTGGTATCTTATTGTGACTGATGATACCTGGCTGTGGATTGACACATTAGTATCTAGCTATAGATTGACAATGATTGGCCTGTGGATGGACAAACTGCTGTAGACTCACAATGTCTGGCTTGTGGATCGACAGACTGGTACCTTGCTCAGGATGATGGTCTACACCATGCATAATGCAAACGTCCTAACTCCAATAAGTACACCTACTGGAAACAAAATAAATTGTACTGGAGCTTTTTATGTTTCAAATGATTTTATATTTTTGGATAATGTAGCAGAGCTCCTATACTCCGACTGAGTACCTCTGTCAGGTCAGCTTCCTCACTGCTACCAGGGGATTCTGGAACCCTTCAGACCCAGTTGCCGAAGCTTGACTCGGGTCTCTAGAACTTCTCAGCGGATGAGGCTGCTGCATGAGTGCTGATTCGACTGTTCTCCACGAGCCCCACTCCAGCCACTGTTCACAGGTCCCCAATTGCTGCTTTCAGCTGTTGCCAGAACCTCATGAGGTCTAACAAGGTCCAGGTGGTGGTTTGGTAAGGGAGGAAGCAGATACCAATGCTGACACCAAATGTAGCAGAGCTTCTGTACCTCCACCAGGTCAGCTTCTTCCCGCTACCAGGAGACTCTGGAGCACTTC